GGGGGGGGGGGGGGGGGGGGGAATTTGTTATTTTTTAGGAAGAATTTAAATTCACAAGTCAGTCATTGCTTTTTAAGTCACCAATGCTACAAAGTATGAAGAAATTGTGGATAGATAGCTGAAATTCAGGTGTACAAAAAGCAAGACATTGTAAAAATAAATAAATAAATACATAAATCACATGCTGCTCATGAAAACACTACCTAGCAGAACAGTATTTTCCTTCACTTTCTAAATTTCTTCAACCGTTTAAGGAGCTATTCAATCAAAAAGAAATGTCTCCACTCTACTGTTTCACATTTTTCTACCACCTTCTCATACAGGTAATGGGGATATGACAGCAACAGTGTTCACAATGGCCAGAGCCAATTAGCCAATAAAGAATAGCTAAGTCAGAGCATTTGGAGATCCACATTTGCACTTTTAGTAGTCCCCAAACAAATCAATGCTGTTTCAAACTCTTACCGGAACTTCAAAGATTTCCTGCGTATCATCCAGCATCTGGATTTTGATAGAGACAAGCTTTCCAGGCGGTGTCGGAGGCAGTTTCTGTCCATGCTCCAACGTACTGATCCCAGCATTTTCCTGAGCTCCTAACCGGGATCCTGCAGTTGGTCTCTGCTCTGTTTCACCCATGTTTAAAGAAACACGTTTCTTATGCCTAACAGAGGAAGAAGGACAAAGGAAACAGAAAAACCTTATCATTTACAGCCAAAAATAGCATTTTGATTTTAATTAGCATTGTACAAGCTAAATGTCTATTTTATGGGGCAAACTTTCCAAATCTCATGCTTTAGACCCAAGCTAAGCTGATCTATAGGAATAAAGGAGGTTCTTAGCAATTTACCCCTTACCATATGAGGATGGATAGACATACAAAAAGAAAAGTTTCTGTGAATTACAGAAATTTTTCTGCTCTTAAGAATCAGACTGCCCAGCAGCAACAGCTGCTCTAAAATGTGGATGTTGGCATGACCCTAGGGTTAAGGTCAAGAGCTGTGGGAACTGGCCCACTGCAGAGTTAGAATGGTAGCACTTGTTCTGACAAGCAAAAATTGCTGTGTGCCAATACAGTTTCCACTTTGATCTTCCCCAGAACCCTGGACATGGAAGCAAAGACAACAGAAGGAAGAAGCCTACCATAGTCCTCTGAGGACACCTACGGCCAGCATCTGCTGGCTCATACAATGCACTACAGAAGTGGGTACAAAACTTTACAGGGCTTTCTTATTTCCATTTAAAAGGCAGAAAAGTCTAGTTCTTGAGTTCCTGTTCATGTTCTGCATTCATCCACAACAATCAGCTTCTACTATACAACAGTTCTGCCCTAGAAAGAGAAGCGCCAGGATGATATGGTCCAACGTAATTTTTCATCAGCAACTGGCACAACTTTGAATCTTCCTATTCAATTCAAGGATGATTAGTTTTATTTATCAAACCTCATACATCCTCCTAGATTTTTTTTCACGCATTCCCTTTGTCTTGGGATATCCTCACAAGATTTCTGATAGAGTCTGCTACTACTGTCTATTTGTCTAGCCTGATAATTGCATTTCCATTCCTCTACCTTTCATGTGCTGATCAATGATCGTTAACAAGCATGTAGCAAACAAGAGGAATGGAAATGTAACTTTCCAGCTGAACAAACATACAGCAGCAAATCCAATCATTCTCTGCTTTTTCACTTTCAGGTCTGCCTGTGGGAGAAACATCAACAAGTAACTACCACTTGTGTACCAGCACATGTTGCCAGTGCTGAAAGAAGAGTGAAAAACAAATGGAACATGAAATAAGATACCAACTCCTCTGTAATGGCAGAATTATAACATTCTCCTTTATACGGAGTACACTGTTTTTTCCACATCATATTTCCAAATATTTAAATCCTACTCTTGGAGGAATGAAAGGGGGTAGGATATTTTTCCCTTTCCAAATAAAACTCTTAAGTGCTGACCTGGAAATTTAAATTAAAAGCAAAAACAACCCCAGGTCCCACACACACACACCTAATACCTATTAGGTATTCCATGTCTAATACGTAAAAATAGGAAGAAAGATGATGAAGGTGATCGTAATATGACATTTAACTAAGTCATATATTAAGAATTTGTGGGTTTTTTATTGTGGTTAATTATTTACCACTTAGGAATGCCCTGCAAACATTAAACAAATGAATTTTCATGAAACAGGAGATGCAAAATAAGGAAGATACAAGCTAGAGAAGTGGCACTTCCACCATAAGCAGCAGGTGGACAAAGTGAGTTTAGACAAAAGAGACAGATAATGCTACGTAGTAAGAGACCAGATGCATCTGTAAATGAACTGGACTTAAATTCTGGCATGTACATAGTATGGACATCAACATATCACACTCCTGCAGTACCGAACAGACAGGGTCACATCTAACCAGCTCCTTCCCATTACCGGCCCAATATTTTGTGTGCCAGTTCATTCCAGTCTAGTTATCTTTAAATCACTAAGTCCTATTGACAATATTAACAGAGAATATAGGACATTTACATTACTAGCACTGCCGTGAGCCAGGCAGTTTGTAAACATATGTAGAGAGGTAATATATTTATCAAAACCTAAATTACAAAAGAACTGATACAGAGCAGATTAGAAGAGCCACCATTCAAATATCTAACATATGGAAATATTCCACAGCCTGAACCCTTTTGCAGATTATCTATAACTGGGTGAAATGATGGCCCACAAATGCATGCCAATATTCTCAGTAAAACACAGGAAAAAAGGCCAAATTTAGAAATCAAAATAAATATTAAGGAGGAGGATGAAAAATGCAAGGCAAACTACTTCTTGTAGAGGGCTAAAGGTTTATATTACTAGTTAATAATATAGGAACCACTGTAAACACATATTGCAGGTATCTATTACACTTGCACACTTCATTTTGGAAGCTGAGACATGAGATACTGGCTACAGTGACTTCATGCAATAATTTTGTTATGACATTAACACCAAACCAGATTTTTTTTAAAGCTACATCTATCTAATAATTAGTACATGCTGCATTGAATATTTTCCCCCTGAGGCTCACTAGCCTTCTTAAACAATTTATTGTGCCTTGATTCAAGAGGTGTGTTATGAAGCCCCTCACTAAAACACTCATGTAGCAGTCTACCAAGCTGCCTGCCTTTTTGTAAATTTCAGTCCAAAAAAGAAAGAAAAATCAAACCCCTTCAAAGCAGTATTAAGCCAAAGGTTTGGAATTAGGAAACCTAGTCATCCTGGTACAGAAAGCAAAACAGTTTTCTAGTATAGAACGAGTCTAGGGAACCCTTAAAATATCCTACTATAATTAAGACAGGCCTGATGACAGAATGATTCCCAGGGAAGGAAGGAGCTTTGAAAAAGCTGCAGCCACCATAGTTCCAGGAGAAGCTGATCTAAAATAGGTACTCCAATATCACAGTTATCCAATATCAAGTTAAGCTGGCAACATTAATGATAATGTACCTGTAAAATATCACCACCAGTCTAAAGATCCTATATACTTGGAAAATAAAAATCAACAAGCTGGAAGGAATTCAAAGAAGAGTAATAAATATAAATTGGTTCTGTAGATATTCACTTATGGAGTGAAAACTACGCCCAGATGTAGTGCTTGACCAAACACTAAGAAGATGGGAGGTTAACATTAACTTGAAAATATTTCCATGGTGTATACATCAAAGACAGCAAATTGCTTGGAGTATTACAAAAGAGTAAACTAGAAGTAGAAACCTGAAAAGAAAAAATTAGGCTGAATGTTAGAGATCCAATTTCTGCCATGCAATAACAGTATGTTTTACTAATAAATGCTAGGTACAGACACTCAGAAAGCCCAACGTGGGATCAATCTAAGTTACGCAGTTTTCTGTAAGCAGCATAGTTTAGATCAATAGCGAACAGAACACACAGGGCACTGACAGACATGTAGCTCCACACTAACTTATGGCACTTTGCAGGAAGTGCCATGAATCCCCCTGACCCAACAGATGTTTGCTGTTTGATGCAGGGATTGGGGCATTGAGCTCTAGTTTGGAGCAGTTGCATGCCTGTAGTCTCTCTCCCCTAGCTCCTCCCTTCCTTCCCAGCTCCAGTGCTGTCTTCAGAATGGGGGGGAAGGGGGGAGGAGGGAGTGGAGGGAGCTTTGTCTGGGGTTTGCCCAGCCTGTGCTGGAGGACGGGGTAGGTGGACTGACTCCCCCCACCTCGGCTCCAATCTATCCCTCCACTCTCCAGCACAGGCTAGGCAAACCCCAGACAGAACTCCCTCCCCTCCCTCCAATTCTGAAGACAGCTCTGGGGGCAGGGTGGGACAGAGATAGGTTGCATCAGCCCAGTCCTGCTCCATGTGCACGTGATGGACATTAATGAAAGCGCTCCACTTTGGAGCACCTTCATTTGAGCCCTCAGATGAGAGTTCAGGTTGTCATGCCATTGGGCACTTTTAAAGTACCCTATGCCCATGCACTTCTGCAAGGGTACAGCTGTAGAGAGCTTTCAAGTGGCCATTCATACAACATATGTAACTTGTCAGCTCCCACATTCACCCTGTGGTGGTGCGGAGCAAATCTTAGACCAGGTTCCGTCATTTTTAAACCAGTCTGTGTGCACTGAGCTTCTGTTCTGTTATGAGCATAAACCAGTTTTGTGCCGAAACTTCTGTTCTGTTATGGGAATAGACTGGTTTCTGATCAGTTACACTGGTAAAAGCGTAATGCCTGTACCTGACCAAAAAGAGCAGATTATCCTTTTGAAACCAATGAAAAAAATCCTAATATTTAAGTCATACACATCATATGAACAATTGGAGTTCATATTCAAGTAACATCAAGTGGGCACTGCACTTCAGGAGGGATGTGGACAGCATCAAGAGGGTCCAGAGGAGGGCCACTTGTATGATCGGGGGGCAGCAAGGCAAGCCCTACAAGCGGAGGCTACAGGACCTGAACCTGTTCAGCCTCCACAAGAGAAGGCTGAGAGGGGATCCAGTGGCCGTCTACAAACTGGCCAAGGGGGACCAGCAGGCTATGGGAGAGTCCCTGTTCCCCTGATCACTACTGTGAGTAACAAGGAATAACAGCCATAAGTTGACCAAAAGTAGATTCAGGCTAGATATCAGGAGGCACTACTTCACAGTCAGGCGGCTAGGATCTGGAACCAACTTCCAAGGGAAGTGGTGTTTGCTCCTACCCTGGGGGTCTTCAAAAAGAGACTAGATAGACATCTTGCCGGCGTTGTCTGACCCCAGCATTCTTTCCTGCCCATGGCAGGGGGTCAGACTTGATGATCTGCTGAGGTCCCTTCCGACCCTACCAACTATGTAACTATTCATGATTAAAAACTTCAGTTAAATTGGTTAAAATAAACCAATGGAAACCACATACACACATGCAATACTTGCTCAATGACAAAGTACAATTGTGTATGTATGTGCAATTGGAGATTATAAGCACAGTGAGAGAGAACCCATGATGTAATTCAACACAGTGCATATTGTTAGAAGTCACAGTGATGAGTGGCAAATTTTCAAGCCATGCCAAATGAAATGACTAAATCAGCCATGTTATCGGGAAAGAGAAGACTAGAAAAAGAGGAGTAATCAACACTCATTTCTTGAGCTATAGTCACCCCTTCACCATACAGGACATCT